CTGAATCTTCCGAGATGGTGCTTGTTTCATACAGGTAAAAATGGATTTTTTCATTTTTTTAATTTAAACAATGGTTGAATAGCTTTATTTGCAGACATTAATCAGAGCTCGGAAGTGATATGCACATGAGTTACGTCCTCAAGCACATATGTGAGCATAAAGCAAAGTAGAGAACAGTCAGGAAACAGAATTGAACATCACAGTAGAACTGTGAAAATTTCCCCTGGAATATTGGAAAAAGGATAACTGACTGCATTAGAACTAGAACCACGCTGTATATAAGGGAATGCGATATCAAAACTGTAATATTTTATGTCAAGTCTAGGTTTTAATTACCCATTTTGTGTTCTGTTATGATTGAATGAATGTACTAATCTGTAACTGATAAATGTGCAAAATTTTGATAATACACATAAATAAAATGACCAAAATTATGTGTTTCTTTCCAGTGGCTTTTCAAAAGAGATTAAGCATAACAGCCAGGAGTGGTGGTGCACATCTTTAATTCCAGCACTTGGGAGGCAGAAGAAGGTGGATCTATGTGAGATCAAGGCCAGTGTTGTTTACATAGTAAGTTTCAGGCTAGCTGGGATTATAGAGAACACCTGCCTCAACAAACAAATGAATAACAAAATCCCCAAAAGAGATAGGTATAAACATAATTTTCTGTAAAACAGATACAAAACTACCAGATACTTGTTGGATTTGCAATATCAAGTCTCAGAGAAACCTGAGCAGATATAAATTTTAACACAGACTTTCCAATATAATGTCATTTTGCAGTATAATTGTGGCACTTTCAGAACTCTATCTAAACCTCCTTTGTTAGACCTATTTTTCTATCTTGCATTATGTAACTCATATTTGAATTAATTTTGTTTCAAAGTTATAAGAATAGAAAAGGGTTAAAAAGTTTTGTCGAGCAGAGATTTTTTTTTCTGAGGGTGGTAGAATGTAGAAAGAGAATCAGGGCAAAATAAAAAATACTTAAAAGCTGTTTCAACTGCGTATGATTTACTGAAGACCCATATCTAGGATATTTAGGTACTGAATATATGATCATTGTTTTGTTTCAAGAGCTTAGTACAAGTGAGTATTTTTAGTTTGTTCAACAAATAAATAAAATCGAACTCAGGTACTTAAGTACCTAGGGTGATATTGAACTGTCAGTGACTAAAATGTGTTACACCTATGATTTACCTATGTTGATTTTCTAAATAAAACTAAACCATGGCAGAATATGATAAGTACTTCTCCATAGATAAGTACAAAATAATTACTACCCCATGGTGCTGTCTTTCAGGCAATTCGGGTCATGTAGAATGTACTCTACAGCACTGACTCATGTCAAACCAAGTGGGAATACAAATTTGGTCACTAAGTTTTGTGAAGTCAAATTGCTAGAGAAATTTATTTTCTGTTCTTAGAATTACCACTTTTATTTTTACAATTATAGAGGGATTAAAAAAGGCATTTTTAGTTCTAGACTTGTTCATGTTTTTTCAGTAGTTAAGATTCCTTTTGTTTGAGGAGGGTCAAAGAATGTGTGTGTGTGTATATGTGTTTGTGTGTATGTGTGTGTGTATGTGTGTGTGGTGTATGTGTATCTGTGTCTTATGTATGTCATATATCAATGAACACAAATTATTTATGTGTATTTATCAGTAATTTCATGTTATTTCATTTAAAAAACACATTGGAAAAGTCAGTTGAGTCAGGAAATAAATTTCAAATAACCTACCAGATAGATAATGAACAAAAATAACTTACAAAAACCAGTATATTAAGCAAATTTCATAGTCTTGAGGCTAATGGTATATAACACTGTAATTTATGAAATGAGGATGTCACAAAGGAATTACTATATAGTCATACTAGTTTGGATTTTAATTTCATAATGACAAGACACTAAGCATAAAACCGATGAAAAGGGCTCTAAACCCAAATTAGCTTTTAATGATGTGGTTATGTCTTGAGGTGTCAGAGTGCCATGCTGTTCCCAGCCTTCCTCTTTCTTTTTTTTAAATTTTTTGCAAATTTCACACATATATTTTGAACATATTTAGAAAATCATCCATATCTGCACCCTTCTTACAGCCCCCTGGCTGATTTCATGTACTCTGTCATATATGTTAAGGTCTACAGAGTAGTTTGTGTACTCAAATGTCCTTCAATATGCACCCATCCACTGGAGACTGACTACACTGTATAATGACACACTCTTATGGAAAACCAGTTTTCTCTCCCTTAGTAGTTACTGGTTGTGTAGCTCCTCAGTTAAGGTTGGGGCCCTTCCTCATTTCTATATGCTAGGTTTTCTGCCTGGATTGAGTTTGCATGGATATTGTTCATGCTGTTAACATTGCAATAAGTTCATATGAGTAACTTCTCAGCTATCTAGAAAACTTCTGGCTCTTACAAACTTTTTGCCCCTTCTTCTACAACAGTCCCTGAACCTTGTGTGGCAAAGGTTTGATACAGGTGTTCTATTCGGAGATATATTCTCTGTAGTCTCTTATTCTCTACACTTTGGCCAATTGTGTGACTTTCTGGGTAAACTTGTTGCATGAGGAAGCTTGCCTGGTAAAAATTGAGAGATGCATTAATGGTTTTTTCTTCCTCTTATTCCACTATGCTCCCTGAGTCTTATGTGTTACAGGTAAAGGTTGCATTACAGACTGGGCACCTCACACTTATTCTCTCAAGTTTAACCAGTTGTGGAGATTTGTCCCAATTCATGTTCCTAACTTGGTGCACATTGTAACATTGTTTCAGAGAATGTAAATATAGATAAATCTATATTTACACACTGAGCCTGTTATTATCTGGAGTGTTTATTCTTGTGTTCAGTTAATTAAAGGGCCAGTAAATTAAGGCTATTGATACAAAGGTGTACTTCATGGTTATGGGGAACATTTGATAAACCTTGAAGTTAAATATTTTCTGGAGTGAGAGCAAGAACTTATGTATTTGGATAAGGTTCATAGACTCGGACATGTATGCAATAATTAATAACAATGAGTAGTTTTTTTTTTGTATTTCACGTGACTACATATTATCTTGAAATAAAAATACGAAGAATTTGGGTGTGAATTGCTTCAGTGTTGACTGGTCTTTTCTCGAATAAGAAACACCTCCGTACTCTGAGGAGAAAGCAGGAGCTATTAAATTCAGAAATATCCATGGAATACGGCACTTCACGACTAACACCAACTTCCCTGAATAGTCACAATTTAAAAAAATACATATATGAGGGTAATAAGAAATCTTTCCTCCTCAAGTTTTATGGAGGTATAACTAACAATGTATATATTTATCATGTGCAATGAAATGTTTAATACACATGAATGCTACAAAATGATTACATCAATCTAAGTATCAAATTCATTTCCCATTCTTATTTGTCATATGAACACTGAAGGTCTACTAGCAGTAATTTTCAAGCATGCACTGATATTCAGCCAAAGTCAACTTGCTCTGCAACAAATATACAGGAACTGCTTATCCTGTTCAATGGCTTCTTTTTCTTTTTTAAAAAATATCTCCCCATTCCCCTCCCAGTCCATCTAATTTTCCCATAGTCATCCTGGAATTCATATGCCTATGGCTTCTTTAGATTCCACTTTGAGATCTTCCAGCATTTGATTTTCTGCTTTTTAATTTCAGTTAGTACAATGACTTCTAGGTTTGTTCATGTTATTTCAGAAGCTAAGATTCCTTTTGTTTGAGGAGGGGCAAAGAATGTGTGTGTGTGGTGTATGTGTATCTGTGTGTTATGCAAATATGTGTGTTATCTATTAATGAACACATGTTATTTATCATTATGAATGAAGTCTCAATGAAAGCGAAATAATGTAATAATGTCATACCCTCTGATATATATTCTGCAAATTGGAATTTCTGTATCATATGGAAATTTCTCCTTTTAATTCTTTAGCTTTAACTTTGTATATGTATGTAAGATTATGGAGTATGTGAGTATGGCCTAATTGCACAGATGTGCACAGGTGTATGTGTGCATGCTTGTGTGTGTGTGTGTATCTGTGTGTGTGCAGTAACACACCACAGCATAGAGGCCAGAAGGGAATGTCCTGTGCTGCTCTATGGTTCCCTGCCTTTCTCCTTTGCAACAGGGTCTCACAATGAGCCTGGATCTAGTCTGGCAGCCCACAAGCCCCAGTGATTCTCTTGTCTCCACCTCTCACAATGCAAGCACAGGGTCATATGACCAGAATTAGTTTTATACTTGAGTCCTGGGATCTTAACACAGGTCCTAATGCTTATTAGAGTTAGTGAGCTTATCCCTTAAGTCATCTCTCTAGCCTGCTCTTTCCATTTTAACCTTTTCTTTATTTTTCTTTTTTCTCCAACATCTGCTATTCTCTTTATCTTTCACTGTGTTTTGGTATCAAACCTAGAATTTTCCATATGCTAAACAGACAGTCTATTACTGATATTACCATGGTACAAAATCAGACTGTATTATTAATTTTTTTGAAATGTCTCCATATGGCTTACATGAATGAATGTACTAATTTATATTCTCATCAGCAGTTTACAAGGGTACTCTCTTTTAAATTCAACCCAAACTTGATATCTATTGAATTTTTGACAAAATCCTTTCACACAGGTACAGTAACCTGTTCACTGAAGTTTTAACTTGTAATTTACTGACAATTCATTATTAATCATCAGTAATGCTCAGCGCTTGTATATATCTACATATATCTCTATCTATCTATCTATCTATCTATCATCTATCTATCTATCTATCATCTATTTATCTATCATCTATCATCTATCTATCTATCTATCATCATCATCTATCATCTATCTATCTTATCTATCTATCTATCATCTATCTATCTATCTATATCTATCTATCATCTACATATATAGGACTTTCATTAGTTTTAATGGTAAAGTGAAAACAGACTTTTCTTTTGGTGTAATTTTCAGTTTCTCCTGTTTCTTCCTTCAGGTAGCACTGACAGCAATCAATGGAAGGATCCAACCACTCTCTAGTGTCAGAATTTGTATTCCTGGGACTCACCAACTCTTGGCATATTCAGCTACTGCTCTTTTTGTTCTCCTCCATGTTTTATGTGGCAAGCATTACAGGAAACTCCTTCATCGTGTTGACAGTTACTTTTGACTGCCACTTACACTCTCCCATGTACTTTCTCCTGGCCAACCTCTCCTTCATTGACTTAGGTGTTTCTTCTGTTAGCTCCCCCAAGATGATTTATGATTTGTTCAGACAACACAAAGTCATCTCCTTTAGAGGTTGCATCACTCAAATGTTCTGCATGCATGCAGTTAGTGGTGTGGAGATGGTGCTGCTCATAGCCATGGCCTTTGACAGATATGTGGCCATATGTAAGCCTTTGCACTACCTGACCATTATGAGTCCAAGAATGTGCCTCTTCTTTTTAGTGGCTGCCTGGGTGGTTGGCCTTACACATTCTCTAGTTCAAATAGCTTTCGTGGTGAACTTACCTTTCTGTGGACCAAATGTTCTGGACAGCTTCTACTGTGACCTTCCTCGTTTTATCAAACTTGCTTGCATAGACACTTACCAACTGGAATTCATGGTCACAGCCAACAGTGGATTCCTCTCTGTGGGAGTCTTCTTTTTACTGATTATTTCCTATATTGTCATCATAGTCAGTGTTCAGAAACACTCTTCAGGTGGTTCCTCTAAAGCTCTGTCCACACTTTCAGCTCATATCTCTGTGGTAGTCCTGTTCTTTGGTCCTTTGATATTCTTCTATACATGGCCTTCTCCTTCCACACATTTGGATAAATTTCTGGCCATATTTGATGCAGTTGTCACTCCTTTTCTGAATCCTGTGATCTATACACTGAGGAATCAAGAAATGAAGGAAGATGGCAATGAAGAGAGTGTGCAGACAGCTAGTGAGTTATGGGAAGAGTTCTTGAATAGAATTTGTGGATTGTCTTCATTGAAATAAAGTCTTATTTTTCACAAAACTGAAAATAACTTCGTTGTCTACTTTGGTATTCTTATCTAGTCATATGTATATAGTGTTTTGTCTTCTGCTTAGGAGAGAGGGACAATCTCTCCTGAAAACAGAGAATTAAGTGTTTTTGTAAAGCAAAGATTATGAGTATCCTTAACTTGCATTCCTAAGGAATGATACTTATATTATATAATTTAGCCCTGCACATTAGGAAAGGATACATAGAGGCCTCTATACATGGGAAACATTATCTTTTTTTAAACAGTTTTTTTTTTTTCATTTGCAGAAATTTCTGGAAGTACTCACTTTTGTGCTTGTAAAAGTGTACTGAATTGGGCCATTTGTTCATCTCTTTTTCTTTGAACACATTTGTCCTCTGGGTTTTTCCAGGTGTAGAGGGGATTCAAATCCGGATAACACATACAGGGAGTTTGATGGATGCATTTTTTTGTGTGGAAGCTGTGAGAGCCGTTTTGGAATACCAACAAGGAACTATGGAAACTTTGGTTTTTCTGATTAGCATTATGTTCTTTAATACCATGGAGCTTCGATTTTCCTTTCCTTCTTATGTTTTATTATTATTTTTCTTAGTATGTTTTTCTGTGAGAGCTGAAATCAAGAAATATTGTGTGCTTTTATCATGTGAACTGGTGGCAATGGTGGCATCGAACACAGGACCCATGCCTACTCAGTTAAACAAATGTCCAGAGGGGAGGAGAGAAAAGGGAGGCAGGCTGGCACTAGACTGAAAACTACTGGAGGTTGATTGATGCTGGACGAGCGAGAGTATGCCTTACATACACTCTAGAAGGGCTGACTAGACTCCAGTTGCTGAATTTACACTGGAGGACATCTGAGTACAAATGCTTGACTGTATAAGACAACATGCATGGGAGAATACATGAGGTCTGGTGGGGGACTTGGGGAGGCATGGATGGTGAGAGGTCTAAAGTTAACTAAGAACAGTTGTGTGAAATTACAAAAGCTCAATAAAGATGTATTTAAAAAGGAATATTGTGTGCTTTATAAAGGAGGCATTGAAGCATTGAATTCAAAAGACTGACAGTTTTCTATATCATCAAAATTGGGAGTTCTAAGACAAACACAGTATGAAGATTATCTTTGGTCTCTACTTGGTGTTATTGTCTTTTCTTTATGTCCCTGCCTCTATCTCCCCTTTCAACAAGCCTCCATTTACTCATGGCCATTTATCAGTTTACTGACCACTCTAGATTTTCAGATCCATATCTAAGATTTTAAAATTAGCATTTGGTAATGAGAATAAAAATGTGTGCATATAAGATACATGTGTGTATGCCAAATAGAGTCTTTTCTCCATCACAGAAGAGAAATATGAGCTTGGTTTATGAATGGATGTATATGCAAAGCTGCCTGAGCTGGAGTAGTCACTGAAACAACTTGAATCAGGAATGTTCTATCACTTGGGGGCAATTTGGCTTCTCCTTCACAATGGGAACTTCTAACAGGAAAATTAGAACTCAGAGATGTTATTGGTGTTTCTTCTGCTACCTATTTGTTCAGTACTTTTCATCAGCAGTAAGCAATGACACCTGCAAAAATGTATCATCTCAAGATGTTCCTCTTTTCAAAGTTCCAGGGGACTATGTAACATCTCTTAAAATGTCCTATAACTGTGGGGAGTCACCTGTCCTCTTGCTCAGAGAGGACATGGAGACCCCACGAGATGTATTTGAATCAGCGTCCAGTCTACAAAGGGGACGGTCAACTCAGAGGAAACATCTGATTCATTCATTCATTCATTCATTCATAAGTGAAGCCAGACTAGGTCGAGTAGGACCTTCAACTTATCTTCACATAGATGGAACTGGTAAAAGTAAGGAGCGAGGGGCTCCTCCCAAGCCCATGTGACCCCTGAGGAACAGATCCTGAAATGACCTCAAGTATAAACACAAATTGATTTATTTGGGCCAACTGTATGGTCTTAAACACCTAAAAGGAAAGTATAACCAAAGAGTAAAGTCATAGTATATTTCTTTGAGTTCAAGGGATTACACTAACAAGGCATTAAGCTTAAGTCTATATAAGAAGTTATTTAGACAATTTTTTTTCTCATTTATGATTTTTTTCCTAACCAGAAAGTCCTGCTCAGATGTAAGACTTCAAATTTTGTTCTCCAATACTGTAGAACCCACCTGTAGGTAATGGAGACAACCAGCTATTGTTCTAAATGATGGATAAATTTATCCCCCCCCCATTTAGAAGCCTTTGAGAGGGAACTGAAACCTATTCTAACTACTCCAACAGCTGTCAAAATACCTGAAAGCAAATCCTGCATCATCACTCTAGAGTCCAGCCTTGGAAGATACAAGAAAAAATGAGGAGGAATCAAATAGAGGGATACTTTTGGAAGCCCATGTCTAGAAATGCCAATGGACTCACACATGAACATTTGAAATTTGCCCTCTTCTGACTTTTTTCTAGTTCCCTGTCTAGAACTTATAATGGTAATTACTCTTGCCTTTACTTTTCCTTCACATCTCCTAGTCATGAATCAAAGACTTTCTTTACTCCGTAGAGATAAGAGTTATGCAACATGGGAGCCTTTTAGAATAGGCCCACTGAAGGGGTACTCCAATTTCCTCACACTGCATCTCTGGAAGAAGCCAGAGAGGTCTGTTTCCATTCCCTGTTGGCAATTTTGGTAGCCTCTTCAGAGGATGGTGTGATAAGAATAGGAGGTAGGGCCCATCTCCCCAGCTGTTCTCTCCTCCTAGCCTGGGTTCTGTCCATTCCTTCTCTTGGCACCCCAGACACCTGGGGAGCCACCACTGCTTCCTGATCCTTTGCATCCAGAGCAACTCTGTTCCTTCTCAGGTTCCCAGAAGCATTGCTTCTGGGCCTGGTCCCACCCTCACCTTCCTCTGCTTCCCTCAGTCTTCACTATCCTCAGGCCTCTCTCTGACCTGCAGCCTCTCTCTCCAGGTAAGTCGATCATGCCCTCCCATCCATGTGCCTTGACTCCCCAAGCCTCACTCACCTTCTTATCTACCCCAACATATCTCCTCCTAGGCTAGGTCCTGTCCCATTCCTTGTCTTGGCACCCGAGACACCTGGGGAACTACCACTGCTGCCTGATCCTTGCATCCAGACCAACTCTGTTCTCGGTCCCCGGGAGCACTCTGGGCCTGGCCCCGCCCTCACCTCTCTCTGCCTCCCTGGGTCTATATAACCCACCAGCCTCTTTCCTTGACACCAGGGCTGACCTTTCCTCTTCCTGGTCCTTTGCATCTGGACCAACCTGCTCCTCAGTGCAGTCCCCAGGAGCCCTTGGGGCTGCCTCCCACACCCATCTTCCTTTGTATCTCTGGGTGGCACAGCCACCAGATGCCCTAGACCAGCATCTTTCCTGGGCCCGCCTCCCAGGCCAGTCCAACTGCCAAATTCCTAAGGCCAAAATCTATCCTGATGGGATCCCGTCCTTAGGAGAAAGCCTGAAAGCATCTGATCCTCATCTGACTTGGGCCTCTGTGGGAACTACTGAAGACAAAAGCAATCTGGCCACTCCAATATAAAATCAAAAGAGAGAACTGGACGCTTAGAGGAACTAGACTTTCATGCCCAAAAATTAAACTGCAAAAGAACATAAAGTTCATGAAAAGAAGAAGACCCAAAGTTGAAGGCTTGAGTCTCACACAAGAATCAGAAACTACAAAATAAATTCATATGTCAAAAATCACAGAGATAAAATAATAAAATGAAAAACCAAAATAACATATCCCCACCAAATACCAATAGTCCTGTAGAGGAGTACATGAGAACTACCTAGAGATAATGCAAGACATGGAACTCAAAAGAACAATTATAAACATGATAAAAAAATTCAGTGAATTTAAAGAACACACAAAGAAATCAAAGTGAAGGAAGATAGGGATAAACTTCTGAATTAATTCAGAAAAGAGCTAGAAATATTGAAGAATACTCAGGCTGAAATAAAGAACGAAGTGAAACACTCCATAAGCCAATTAGAAACGGCAGGAGAAAGCCTCACCAATAGGATGAACGAAATGGAAAATAGAGTATCAAGACTGGACAATAAAGTGGACGAACTACACCACTCAAGCAAAGATTATGAAAAATTTAAGAAAGCATAAGAATGGAATATGCAAGAATTGGGTGACACCATAAAAAGACCAAACTTATGAATCATGGGCATACAGGAAGAAGAATCCCAAGATAATGGCATGGACCAGATCTTCAACAGAACCTTGGAAAAAAATTTCCCAAAATTAAAGAAAAACATGCCCATACAAATACAAGAAGCATATAGAACACCAAACAGACAGGACCAGGAAAGAAACTCTCCATGGTACATCCTAGTAAAAACATTAAATGTACAAAACAAAGAGACAATACTGAAAGCTACAAAAGAGTAACAACAAGTCACATATAAAGGAAAACCCATCAGGAAAACAGCTGACTTTTCAGTGCAAACTATGAAAGCCAGAAGAGCCTGGACCAAAGCATTCCCAGTTTTAAATGACCACAGATGCCAACCTAGATTAATTACTATACCCAGCCAAAATGTCTATTATACTTGAAGGGGAAAGAAAAATCTTCCATGACATAAATAGGCTGAACGAATTCATGTCCACAAAACCAGTCTTTCAGAGAGTTCTGGAAACAATACAAAGATCTGAAGAAAGGAATGACTATACCCAAGGGGTTGTGGAAGGAAATTCAATGAGAGTATAACTGTGGAAAAGTACAGCTATATCGCGAATGTAAACAGAAATAAAAATTCCAGGGTTCAACAAACATCTTTCATTAATAACTTTAAATATTAATGGACTGAACTCCCCAGTC